TAATGAATATAAACTTGCATTTTAAACAAATATAAGAAAAAATAAATTTAGATTATGATTAAATGACAAAATCTATACTCGTGCTTCGAAAGAAGTTTTATCACTAATAGGTAAAAATTAAAAATGTTAATTGTTTCGGATATGAAATTGAGATGAAAAGTTATTATTTCATGAGTTATTAAAAATCCAAATATTGATTACTATTCTTTCATTTATATTTGAAAGTTACTTGTAATATTTTGTTGCGTTCGATTTTAAGTCATAATTAGTGTTAAAAGTAACCATGATTATTTTATGACATGTCTAATCGCTAGACAATAATTTAACATTGATCAAACATCATTAATATATAATATTTAATTTATAGTTCGTCCTACATGGATCTTCAATAAAAGAAAGTGCATAAAAGTATAACAAAAATTAAACGCTTAATCACAGTGATATGACAACCCTTGACCTAATTTTACTTACTTAAGAAAATAATTGCGCCGTCCACCAACTCCCAAATGATAAATAATGTGTTGAATGGCCACCATTGTGGAGTGCAGAGCGAAGATGACAAAATAGAATCGAGCATGACGATCACGCACGACATGATCATGCTCATCCTTATCTTACACCAATTTTTCAAATGTTTTATTCTTTTCATATTCTTTCCTCAATCAATCTCGTAATTCACATTTTACTCTCTGTCCAGACATTAATAAAAACAGAGAAACACCCAAGGGAAAGTACAATCAGTAAATATGAAATATTTATGACTCAAATTATTGTTTCACATTTTTTTACATGTTTATCATTATATTTTTCAATTTATGGGGTAACCTTTTTAATTCTTATATTATTAAAACTAGAAAAATTAAATTTTTTTTAATTTGAGTATTACCTTATTGTGATTTTGCGTGATTAAAAAAATTGGTAGCGTTGAAAGCAATTACCCATTCGTTCTTCTCTGGCTCCCACAGTGCATAATAAAAGAGCAGAGCACAGAGAACAGAGCACGTACTCTGCATTCCTCATCTGCGTTTGAGATCGTAAGATGGCAAGGAAGAAGATCAGAGAGTATCACTCCAAGAGGCTTCTCAAGGACCACCTCAAACGTCTCGCCTCAATCGACCTCGACATCCTTTCTGCTCAGGTTTCCATAATTCACACGCTGTCTCCTCGTTTTAATTCAATCGATCACTTATTTGACAGGTCTGTTCCGAACTTCGATTCTTCGCAGGTCACACAGTCAACGGACTTCGCTGAATTTACAGACCACCATCCGTGGTTGTCGTCAACAAAGTTGGTCGTGAAACCGGACATGCTCTTCGGGAAGCGCGGAAAGAGTGGCTTAGTGGCTCTCAATTTGGACATAGCTGAAGTCGCTGAGTTCGTCAAAGCACGCCTCGGCGTTGAGGTCATTCCTCAAAATGAAACTATCCATGCTTGCTTTTTTGTGCATTCAACTATGATTTGTTTAATTGTAGTTTTATCCTGTTTCACTTATTTGGCTTTGTTGCCTCCATTTTTTTTATTCTCCTGCTAAGCTGACACTACACTGCACGTCTGAATTTCTGTTAAATATATATTGAATGTCAAGTTGATAGATGAATTTGTAGGAATCGAAATCTGATAAAAAAATTAGAGGAATTTAATTTGTGAAATGATGGATAAAGGAAGCGAAACAGTGCTATTAAGTTTTAACATTTCGTCTTCCAGCCTGAACTTTTTATTGTATTGAACGTTTGGTAGGTTGAGATGGGAGGTTGCAAGGCGCCTATAACTACTTTCATTGTTGAACCGTTTGTTCCTCATGACCAAGAGTATTATTTGTCCATTGTTTCTGAAAGGCTTGGCTCCACTATCAGCTTCTCCGAATGCGGGGGCATTGATATTGAAGAGAATTGGGATAAGGTGTTATTGACTTATGGTTAAATTAAATTGAATTAGTGTTACTGTTTTACTTGCTTTGTCTAGTATGATGCCGTGTTTGTGCTTCCTTTCTGCAAATGCAACCCTGATAAGATGGGAAGGTTGACTGTTGATTGTCAGGTTAAAACTATATTCCTTCAACGGAAAAACAGTTGACTCCGGAGGCATGTGCACCGTTGATTGCTACACTTCCCTTGGAGGTCAGTATTTTGCCACTTCCCTTACTTCTATCAGTTTCTGTGTGTTTGCTTGGGAGTTTACATCATGTTGAGCATTCAAAGAATTCATATAGTCTCCAGAATTGCTCTCGCGCTAACTGTAGTTTAGATTTTGCATTTGGTGAAAAAGTCATACAGACGTGACTGCATGATTTGGATGTGATATGTTTAGTTTCGTTTGGTTCTAACCTCTGCACTATCTCTATTAAGATTTTGAGAGTTTGTTTGAACTTCTCTTTCTTTAAGATAATGCTTGTCTATATTCACTATTTCTTTATTTGTAGAAGTTTTCTTCTCCATTGTGCATCGAACCAATGCTTATTCTAACTCTAACTTACAGATTCGGGGAACAGTAGGTGATTTCATACTGGGCGTGTTTGCTGTCTTCCAAGGTATGGCATAAGCAAGCTTGAAAACTACTTGATCACCTCGTGGTTTTGGAACCTAAAGCAAAATATGAACTCTGGAATGTAGAATTTAGAAAATGCTTTAGAAACTTTAACATGTGCTTTTAAGTCGTCCATCTCAACTCACTAACTTGTGCATGACTAGTCGAAATAATAATGAATATCGTTTGGTCTATTTAACTTAAAAGATACGGGGGGAAATTCTAAATACTCAATTTTGTGCAAGATAGAATCATTTGTATTTACTTCTCATAAAAAAATGCTAACTGTCATCGCTATCCCTATATGCACTAGTCTAACCTTTTTTTGAACTCCCATCTTTTCCATAGATCTGGACTTCAGTTTCCTTGAGATGAATCCATTTACACTGGTGAACGAAAAGCCATATCCTCTGGATATGAGAGGGGAATGGATGACCACTGCTGCATTCAAGAACTTCAACAAGTATAATCCTTTGATATTATGTCAAGAGATGAATATTTAATTTTTAAGTGGAAATTTAGTATCTAGTGCATATAATTAATTGTTTCTAATCTATATATCTTAATGCCTTCAGGTGGGGAGATATAGAGTTTCCATTGCCTTTTGGAAGAGTTCTCAGCCCTAGAGAAAGCTTCATCCATTCATTGGATGATAAGGTATTTTTTTTTTCATTTTAGGTTTAAATAAGTTTTATATCTTTCACATATTACTTTTTGTTTTATTTTAACTAATCAATAAATTACCTTCTTAATTTGAGCATTTATTAAATTATAAAAATTGATTTAAGTTTTGGAATTTTTATTTATTTGTAATGTTATATTTTATCTTTAACTAATTTTTTAAATATTTTAAGATTTTCCTTTAAGTCAAGTTGTTTTTTTTATCATAATAACTTGTATATTTATAGTTAGATGAAGTACAAGAGAAATTTCTTTATTTATTTATACATATATAACTTTCTAACATTGATTTAATTAACTTGTGAATAGTAAGAGTAAAAGCACAATCCACTCCTGCAAAATTATTATATTACATTGGGTTGTTTAAGATATACTATCGGTTTTAGAATGAATGTAGATCTAGTTGATGTAATAAATTAAAAGTATTACATTGGGTTGTTTAAGATATACTCTCAGTTTTAAAATGGATGTAAATCTAGTTGATGTAACAAATTAAAAATATTTTACATCGGTTATTTATAATCGATTTAATATTTTAAAAAAAAATTACTCGTTCATGAAGTTATCCATGATGCTGTACCATCTGGAAATGGAAAAAATAGCTTACATCATTAAAGACAATGTTATTTTGCTGTTCGGATTCTACTAAATGATGGCAAAACGCAAGAAAAGGTCAGGAGTTCTTAGAGACACGAAGGTTAGGGCTCACAACTGGATATGCGGAGGTTAGAGTTTTGTTCCAAGAGCCACCAAATATATAACACGCGCCACCTGCAATGGTGCATCACCAAAGCTCGAGCGAGAACAACAACTGTGTGAGAATTAACGCGAGCGATTACCGTTGAAACGGTAAGGCATAAGAGAGGTGATAGGAGGGAGGTTTATGAGGACAATAGTGAGAGACGCGAACCACAACGAGGGGGAGGTTTGTCAAGGAAGTGGTGAGAGATGAGAGAGATGAGAACGATAGTTTGAATGGAGGAAAATGGAAAGAGAATGGAGGAAGAGAGGTTCTCAAAGTGTGAAAATGAAAAGGAAAAAATGAAAAATCAACCATCCTAGTTTGAATTAAAGAGGATGGTACATAAGTTACCTACCATAGTTTCTAGTATTTTTTAAAAAAAAATATTTTTTAATACACCTAAATTTTTTACATGATGCTATTTTTATTTATTTTTTACTCTCTTTTTTCTTAAAAAAATATAATATTTTACACTTTTTTTATTATTTTATCTTTATATCCTAAAGATAAATGAATGTAAGAGTGTATCATGATATGATTTCTCTTTTTAAAAGAACAAATAATGGAGAAAATGAAAAACCATGATTTGAATTAAAAGAGATACCACATTGATTATCCACTATAACCGTTGTAGTATCTTGTTTCTTTTTTAAAAAATAACCTTAAGAAAACATATTACATTGGTTATATATATATTTCGTGTATTTAAACAAATGTCACCGTACAAAAAATCACATTATTTCTTCAAGAACTAATATCATAATATATTGTTATATTTCTATTTTACACGAGTGTATCGTACAAAATTAAAATCCAAATACAATATTTATTGGATATTAAATTGGAAAAAAAAATATAATAGTTACTCTAACTTAAGGTTATACATTTGAGACTAAAAACCTATCTTAACATTTATTTTAATATGTAAAATTTATTTGCCATTGCTTTAAAAGATAATTTATGTTTTAAAAAATTTATGTTCATATAATGTGCTGAAAACAATTTTATCAACTTTGTTTTCTAAATTATTATTATTATTATTATTATTATTTTATATATATATATATATATATATATGCAATAATTTTGTAATAGAGGATTTTTTTTACCGCTTTTATGAGTTTAAACTTAACTCATTTTTAGAAAAACCATTTTTGGAAAATGAAGAATCTCTTATATATTATAAATTATACTTGTGAGGAGACTAAATATTGATAACGTATAAAATTTAGATTCAACAAATGCTTTTAGGATAAAGTCTTATATCATATTAATAAAAAATAAATTTAATTTATCTTCACAAAATCAATTTGTAAAATAAAGATCACTCCTTTAATTCACGTTATTGATAATGGAATCTCTAACCAGCCATAAGTGTGTTTGATATATAACACTTTTGCACAGTGAGAACTAGGAAAAATCAATAAATTAAAAGTAGAAAAATGCTATTAGAATTCTCGGCATCTTCTGTCACCATTCTGATGAAATTGAGAAAATAGTTCCTGATTTCGGGATAAATCTCGCCTCAATAAGTCGTCCATATATTTACAGGTTCACCTTACGGTTATCATGTTCTTACAGTACATTAGTTCATTAAAATTAATTGCAAATTGCAAGTGGAACTTTTCTGTGTAAAGATTCTTAAGTTTTCTTTTTCATATTACAGACAAGTGCGTCGTTGAAATTTACTGTATTGAACCCAAAAGGACGCATCTGGACAATGGTAGCTGGAGGTGGTGCAAGTGTAATTTATGCCGATACTGTAAGCTTCCATGTTTTATGGATTAATTTTAATTCTGGCTAAAATTGTAAATAAAGGACCATCTCCAACATTGATTGATTATTGAATAATTAACTTCTACTTTAGTATGTCATCTAGTGAGTTAATAATATACATGTTGTTTACTAGGTTGGAGATTTAGGCTATGCATCAGAGCTTGGTAACTATGCTGAGTATAGTGGAGCACCAAATGAGGAGGAAGTGCTGCAGTATGCAAGAGTCGTAATTGATGTAAAACTTACATATCCAATTGATATATTCTTTTTCTTTCTTGTGGCTTAAATTTCTCTAATTGATCATATCTAGTGGCTTCATCACTACATCATTCGTGAAGATTGTGCTCACGAGCCATAACTGTGTTGCAGTGTGCTACTGCAGACCCTGATGGCCGTAAGAGAGCCCTACTTATTGGAGGTGGCATAGCAAATTTCACTGATGTTGCTGCCACATTCAGCGGGATTATTCGAGCGCTGAAAGAGAAGGTATGTTAATGTTAGTTGTATCCTTAGTACGCTTTCTACTTGTTAACTTGAAAGTTATGAGTTTGTTTCCCTATCACTCCAACAGGAATCAAAGCTTAAAGCAGCGCGAGTCCACATCTTTGTCAGAAGAGGTGGTCCAAACTATCAGACTGGTTTGGCAAAGATGCGTGCATTGGGAGAGGAATTGAGAGTACCAATTCAGGTAAGGAATGAGGATGACAATCTTTATAGGGATCTCGCTTTGAAATGTGATGTAAATTTGCTCACCTGCTAACCACTAGCAAGCTACTTTTAGTTATCACAATCTGGGAGCGATGAGTAGTTACTTAATCTAAATGCTTAGGTTAATCATTGATCAAACTATTATAGACAATGATTTAAATTTTGAAGTTTGCAACTTAGTTCTTTACCTTAAAGCTTAAGACACAGGATTTTAAAGCTAAACAGTTGAAATACAAATTATTTTTTCTGTTGTGGTTCCAGGTTTATGGACCGGAGGCCACAATGACGGGTATCTGCAAACAAGCTATAGATTGCATCATATCCGAAGCTTAACGCCGAAATTTTTGGCTCATGCATCATCTTTCATTTCGGTAACTAACTTGGTGGCGTGTTGATGGATATAAGTCCGTAGTGTGGACCAAGCAAGGACGAATAAGATCCGTGTGGAGAGGATACACGTTGCAAGGAAGCTATTCTTATCTTTTGTCATTGTTAAATCTGGAACTGTTAAATTCCCCAGAAGTGTACGACCAAAATGTAACTTTAGTTGAAGGATTTTTCTTTGAAGTGATGGGTTCAATTCAATGTCTTTTCCCAATTGGAGCACATGCTCATAAAAATTTACCTAAAAGCAGTATTTTTAATTTACAAGAATAGGACAGATTATTGTAAAAAGTTTAGAATTCGTAGTCCCCTTAATTAAGAAAAATAAAAAATAAAAATAAAGTTTAAAATGTTTTCTGTTGAGATTTAATTTTGCACCGGAAACCGTACTATTACAATAAATAAAAATAAAAATGTGCATGATAAAGTTTTATTGGCATATATAAAGATGTCTCAAGCCGCATTGTCAAGATCCAGTACATCGCAAAATGCTTTTGGGGCATTAATTCATGACATAATGTTAAAATCTCCATTGACTGTGATTTAATGTCAGGTCACATTCATAAACAAAAGAAAAAAGAAAAAAAAAAACATGTAATAACGTTGACAACAAAGCAAGAAGATAAAATGCTTCCGTCCTCGTCACCAGTCCTAGCCGCCACGACTCGGCCAATTTTATGTCTTAAGTAATTACAAAAAATAGATTTATATTAAAAGTTAAGAAGAGAGTTTGAGTTTAAGCCAATGGTTCCGGCGGGGCTCGAACCCGCGACCTTCGGCTCATAAGACCAACGCTCTAACCAACTGAGCTACGGAACCACTATATTTAAATATTTCCATTTACATATTAGAATCTTATAAGAAAGAAAGTAGCTACTAGCTCTAGTTTAGCAGACCTAAATATAATTCTTTTTGTTGATTTTGTTTTCCCTATCTCCATCTCTTTTATGTCACAATTCCATTTTACATGCTCAACAGATATTTTATGAAACGTGAATTGAAGAATAAATTCCATTTGCATTCTTTAAAAAATTTGGTATTATTAGCAATTAAAAAATTCTCTTTTATGTCACAATTCCTATTCTCAATGCTGTTTCAAATAAAACAGCTCTAAAATAAAGAGAGTATTATAGGGGTGGATATAATATAATGTAACAATAAAAATTAAGAAATCAAAGAAAAAAAGCAAAAAAAGTGAAGTGGGTAAGTAAAATTTATTCTTTGTAATAATTGAAGGACTAAATGGATAAAAAGAAAATACGTTATAAGTACCACAAAAATTTGTATTGTTTTTACCTTCAAAAATCTATGTACGTTTTCTTTTAGATTTTATTATTGTTGTTATTATTAAACGGAAAGTTTTACGTGTTAAAATCATTCACAAAACATATATTTCATAAATAAATATATGTCATTAACAATCTTATTCTTATAAATATGTAAAAGTTAAGATGTAAATATGAATTATATAATAACTGTGTAAATAAAATATATACATATGCATAAATATTGTTTGGATTTGATTGATGTTCGAAATTAAATTAGAATTCAATTTAATCCAATAGAAAAATAATCCATTTAGATCGAATTTTGTTGGATACTGTAAGTTTATAAAGTCCTAAGTATTTTTATATTTGATAATATCAGTTGTACTTTTTTGTCTTTTTCTTCAAAATCACGTATAATTCGTAATCAGAATTAGAGAAATTTGAATCAGAATTTGATCTATTTCAATAAAATATTCATTAAAAAGATTATAAATAAAAATATAAATAAAATAATAAAATACATTAATTACGTATGTTTTCTTTATCCTCATTAGATAGTTTTAAAATGTAAAATAAAATCAACATCTCAGGTTGCGGGGATAGCTCAGTTGGGAGAGCGTCAGACTGAAGATCTGAAGGTCGCGTGTTCGATCCACGCTCACCGCATTTTTCACTCTTTTTTCTTAATTCCGATTGATTGTATTATTTTTTCTTTTTAAACGTTACATTACAACACATTTTATATAATTTATTAAATAATAAAAGAATTCCTTGGATATAAACACTTTATTTGGCTCTGTTCGGCCAAATAAATTATACTTAAATAATAATTGTTTAAACAATAAATTGTGGGAATAAAATAGCACACGGTATGTCGCATTTTTTATTTTATTTCTAAATTTGGATCAATAATATTTCTTTTTTTCCTTTTGGCAATATCTTGATGCCTACTAATTTTGACAATATTTTTTTTATATCTCTTGTTTTTTTTTTGGGCAAGGGTAAAATGCTTTTTATTTCTTGAATGTGAAGAATACAGCTTTATGCTTTTAAGATATAACGACAGGGTTTCTTTACTCTTTCTAGAATCAACATTTCTGAGTATTGTTCTTATTCGAGTGGAACTTTACCTTTTCCTGTTTCTGTGGACTAAATAAAAATATCGAATAAAAAGTATTAGCATCCAATATCTTTGAAATTTAGAGTTATTTAAATAATTTTTATAAATGTTAATTATATAAAGAACATTTATTCTCTTAAGTGTAATACTCACTAAAATGTACTATTAAGTTGTTGATCTCAAAGATATTTTCACATCTTTGATCAAGGTCGTGTGAATCTTGTGGATGAAAGTGTGATTGGAGAAAAACACAATTTCTTTTCCATCAATGTTATATTTAGCTAGAAATGACAACGGGTGAAGAGTAATTTTTTGTTAGTCATTTGATCTAGAAAAAATTGTCTCGTTACTTCTTGTATATCTCGTTGAAAAATACCCGAATATTATTTTTATACTAATATGAAACCATGAATATCCACAAATGAATTTTTATTTAAATATTTTCTGTAAATCCTAACAAAATTATTTTAAAATTTACTCTTAAATAAGTTTTTTGTTTATCTAAAAGTATGATTCAAATAACATTACATCATAAAATATTGATGCAGATAAAATAAAATTACCCCTTTTAAAAGAACTCTAATTTTATAAATTTAAATAAAAAAAGTAAACTTATAAAACCAAACTTTAAATAATTCTTCAATTGTAAATGTTTTTCTTACTATTAGTATTACTTTAAAAATCTGATCTATAAATCACCAACCATATAAGAAAGACGTATACACAAATATATGTAAACATCCGTTACTCACACATATGCAAGAACATGAAGTTTTGTATCTGTTATAAATTTTAGCATAAATATTCACATACAACATATATTTTTTTATCCCTAAATCACACATTCTAGCAACAGACTATGGAATACAGTTTGCAGAAGAGAAAGAAAGATATAAAGTTCTGTACAGACCCCAACGTTATGGGTTATTATCTCAGAAATAGCATCCACACCTTATCCTACACACAAGCAAAGGGACTCCAAGAACTGATGAATGCATGGAAAAAGAAATATTAAAATGAAAATATGTTGAGCTGTACCATCCAAGAATCAGAAAAGCTATGGAAGAAAATAAAAAAGAAGCTACCACTTCCACTTTGTACACCCACCAAATTCTGAATAAGAAGAATCCATCTTGTCACCCTCTTCTTTCTTCTCTGGAATCCTGAATCTCACTCCTGTCTGTGTCAGAATATTCCTTCTGGGAATCCATTTCTCCACTCCCCCCTCGATTTC